TTTTTAAATTACCACAAAGTTAGCTTTTTTATGTAGCTTTGTCTGAGGATTTCGAATCTGCTTTTATTTTTTACTTAAACGCAGTGGTTTTTGAGYTATTGCCAAAAATCTTTGCTTGACTTTGGGGATGCATTTGTAGAACTTGTTTTAGCACTCTGGTTATCTGGAGTATCACTAAGTTGTTTTTTTCTTGTGTAGAATTGTTTAGAGGATTTGAAAATGCTTAAATTTTTCATCTAGAAGTGGTAGATTTCCAGACATCAAAAGTTAATTGCTTGTGGATTTTTAGTTTTTGAACAAATTCAGAGGTACTGTTTAGGTTTTTTTCTAGTTCATCATTGCTTGAAATAACATAAATTTAGCTTTTCCTTAGGTAAAATATTATTTGTGGGTTTTAGAACCGTTTTTATTTTTTCAAGAAGCATTTTTTTCATTTTAGAACAAATCTCAAGATATATTTAGAACTTTTTTTTAGTATTCTGGTCGTCAGAAGTATAAAATAAATTTTATCTTATGTAATGAAGTCTGAGGATTCCGAATCTGCTCTTACTTTTCAGTTAGAAGCAGTGTATTTAATTTTTTTTTTGAAACTCTGTTTCTCGAAAATGTAGAATTGTCTGAGGATTTCGAATTTGCTTTTATTTTTTGTCAGAAGCCGTAGTTTTCCTGATATCGACAAAAGTTGATCGAATTTTACTTATACGGAGAAAAACGGGAAGTGATTTTTTTTTCAGGACTCTGGTAATTTGCAGTATTACAAAATTACTCTCTTCCCATGTAGAATTGCTTAGGGGATTTGAAAATGCTGATATTTTTCATCTAGAAGTGATAGATTTCCAGATATCAAATGTTAATTGCTTGTGGATTTTTAGTTTTTGGGAAAATTCAGAAGTACCATTTAGATTTTTTTTAGTGCAATTATTGCCTGAAATAACATAAAGTTAGCTTTTCCTTATGTAGAATATTGTCTGAGAGTTTTAGAACCGTTTTTATCTTTTCAATAATCAACACATATGACCAATTTTTTAAATTTTGGGACAAATCCGAAGGTATATTTAGAACGTTTTTCTATTACTCTGGTCGTCAATAGTATTATAAAACATTTTTTTCTTATGTAATAAAGTCTGAGGATTTCGAATCTGCTCTTACTTTTTAGTTAGAAGCAGTGGTTTCTGAAATATTGACAAAATTCTGTCCTAGAATAGTAGTTTCGGGGAAAAATGTAGAGATGTATTTAATTTTTTTCTGAAACTCTCTTTCTCGAAAATGTCACAAAATCAGCTCTTTCTCATGTAGAATTGTCTGAGGATTCTGAGTCTGCTTTTATTTTTTGTCTAGAAGCCGTAGTTTTCCTGGTATCGATAAAAGTTGATCGAATTTTACTTACGGGGAAAAACGGGAAGTGAATTAGAACTTGTTTCAGCACTCTGGTAATTTGCAGTGTTACAAAATTACTCTCTTCTTATATAGAATTGTTTGAGGATTTTAGATCAGCATTTATTTCTCATTTAGAAGGAGTAGTTTACGAAATATTGGTCAAAATTTTAAATAATTGTAATTGACTCAAGATTTGTTTTTTTGTGACCAAACATTTCAAGCTTTCAAAACAGTCTCTTAATTGTCGTAAAAGTACTACTCATTGCTAGATTTTAGTATATATAAAATTTAAACAGCAATAATAACCAAAATAACCGCAGCAGATTCTTGAATCGATTCGTTCTTTAGAATTTCGCTTAGCGTGGAATAGTGTCAATAATTACATGTGACACTTTTGTAAATAAATCGCGACGTGTGGTTATTTGCACAAGATTGTGGTATCTTCCAGTGATTCAGAATTTCAGAATTGACGGAAAGAAAAACTGTAAAAAATGGTCTTGCTTTCTGAAAATTCTGATCACTCAAAGTACAAAAAACAATGTTTTTAAATTGATGTAAATGAAAAAATGAGAACAAATTAAGATCTTTTGTGTTTTATTAAAAGCTCTGAAACAACAATATCTAGTCGTACAATCACGATTTTACAAGTTAAAATTCTGCACTGCAAATATTTTTCGATATTTTTGGTCAATTCTTGC